TTTAACAACTTAAATTATTATAAATTAAAAAATATATAAATCACAATTTATTTTTAATATTCTCTTCATTCTCAACTCTCTGCATTCTAGGTCTGTTTATCAAGTAATGAAAGCTATAGTGCAAACTGCTCACCAAATAATTCTAATAAATTCAGGTCATTTCTTAATTTTTAGAAAAAGTTGCTCTAATTTTTGTGACTCTTTGATACCAGTTGTCATTAGGCAAAGGATGCCCCTTTATGAGACATGAAGAGATCTAAGAAAGCATATCAAATTCTTCCAATGACTTTCCCACTAAATGATAGTCATAGTTAATTTTTAGTCTCTCAATAACTAGAGGAAAGTTATTAACTTCAATATTGTTCATAATACTGAATTCTCTATCAGTTTCTGGAAGGCAGAAATTACATTTTTTTAAAAAAAAATTCTATTCCTTATAATAATGTCTGAGATCTTTACACAGTCTCATCTCTTTTGTTTTAAATCATAAAAGTAATTTATTATAGTGTCATATTTATTTCCTGTAAGCCTAATTCTTTAAGCCAGAGAAGAGTAGCGCAAAAAGACTGAACTCTATTACTAAACTGCCTCCGTTTGAATTCTGACTCTGTCATTTAAACTTTAAGCTTGTGCCTCAGTTTCCTCATTTTTCAAAATGACCATAATTATAGTGCTCAAATGAGTTACTATACATTTGGAATGGTGCCTAGTACAGAAGAAGCATTAGCACTTATTTTTATTAATAAAATTAATTTAGTTAACATCTGTGACAGATTTCTGTTGTTGTTGTTGTTGTTGTTGTTTTTAACAATTCATGTCATTAAATGAATATAAAATGTAACAGATTCTCAGTGGTGATTCCCCTAACATACACTCAAAACCAAAAAGTCCAACACTGGTAACTTCTCACAAATCCTCTGGTGATTTCACTCTGCATTTCACTCCTAACCTGCATAGTTTTTTGCCCTTTGGAGTTGTAGCTGTATTAATGACTCTTCTTTGAGAGGACCCACTATGAGAGAGTCTTATGTTTCATTCCCTAGAGGCCTCTAAGGCTGTAACAATTAAAATTCAAAGTCATCTAGTTGTTTGGCAAATGTCCTCAGGGTAAAAGTGAACTTCACTGCCACTCTGGGTCCCTCCTAAATTTAGCCTTTAGCCTGTGTACTCATTTCTTTCTAATTCTTGGAAGCACTCATGAAAACATTCTGTTTCTATTTTATCTAGAATTTTGCTTGTTTGCAGAGAATAGGTCAGTCCAGGAACCAGTACATCATAATGCTATTCCAAACACATACTCACCATTAACTCATGAGTACTATTTTTATTTTTATTTTATTATTATTTTAAAATAATACATTCACAGCATAATAAAAATCAAATCATGGATGAGTCTAAAATAAGCAGTAAAATTGTCCTCCTTGACCTCTCCCTGTTCTATTCCCAGAAATATTTTAATAGTAATTGGGTTTCTTAGAGGTTGGGATTTTTTATTATTATTTACCACTACAAACTTAATATTAGGACTTATACTGAAATGTGTCAACTTTTGAAATCTGTTGACTCTGCACACTATAAGAAATTTAGCATATTTTACTGCCTCCCAAACTTTTACCTCTTTCTTTTATTATTATTGATATTGTTTTCTAATATTTAGTCTTTTATTTTTATTGATATTAAAATTTAATTGATATTAAGTTTTCTAATATTTACATTTTATATTATAACTAAGATCTCTGCAATTTGTATTGATTGATCTAAAACCACCAGTATTAAAACAGAAATTAGAATATCATATTTATTGCTTATCAAACCAACTAGTATGGCCAAACACAAAAAGAAGCAAATAAAATTCTGTCACCAAATCCCTGACTCTTGAAGATGACCCATGAATGAGCTAAAAATGCCTTCTTTATTAATTTGTTTTCACTTTATTTCATCCAGGAATTGCTTAGTTTCTATTCTTCTCTAGGTTTATATCACTCTTCTCTCATTTCTCTCCTTATATTTTGCTGGAACATCTTTATACATGGAAATGTAGAGGTACTACACTTTCCAGGCTCTTGTGTGTCAGAACATTATTTTCTTGATTCATTTAATTGGATTTATATTGGATAAAGTCAGAATTCTACATCCAAAATTATTTCCTCTCAGAAATCCATCATTTTCTAGCTCTGAAATATTGCTAATACTACTGGGATAGTGTTTGATATCAGTATGTTTCTCATCCCTCTGTAGGTGACCCACTTACTTTTCTCTGTGGAAGATTCCAAGGTATTTTATTTCTAGTCTTCTGAAAATGCAAAACCATGTGAAAATGATTTTTGACTTTTAAAATTCATCCTTCCTGGTATTTTTGTTGACTTCTTATTGAAGATTTGTGTCTTTATTCAGCTTAGGAAAACCTTCTGTTGTTGTTTTTTTTTTGTTTGTTTTGTTTTGTTTTTTTGTGTGTTTTTTTTTACCATCAAATGGTCCTAACTACTATCTTAGCATTCCACTTTTGGAATGCCTAATAAACAGATGTTTGGTTTGTTTCTAGCTTCCATTTATCATATATTCACTCTGTCTTTTTATATTAAACTAATATTATGTTGTAGTTCAAAATAACTTATTTTACTGCGACCATGTAAAAAGAAAAGAGATATATGTTCATGCCTTTCATATGAAAGCAGAAGCCTGAGTTTTTAAATATTTTTATGTGAAACTTATATAAAATTTTGAAAATCAAACAATGTGTCCTTTAAGATTGCAGTATATCCTTATATATAAATTTTAAATATGTAGGAGGTAAATTGTCTATTTTTTTTTTTTAATATGGAATGCTTCAGGGATGCCTGGGTAACTAAGTCAGTTAAGCGTTCAACTTTGGCTCAGGTCATGATCTCATAGTCCATGGGTTTGAGACCCATATTGGGCTCTGTGCTGACAGCTCAGAGCCTGGAGCCCGCTTCAGATTCTATGTCTTCTGCCCCACCCCACCCCCAATCTGCCCCTCTCCCACTTGTGTTCTCTCTCTCTCAAAATAAATAAAAATAAACTTAAATAAATAAATAATAAATAAAATATGGAACACTTCACATATTTGCATGTCAGTCTTGTGCAGGGGGCTATGCTAATCTTCTCTGTGTCATTCCAATTTTAATTGTTATACTGCCGAAGTGAGCACTGTAATATTTTTATTTGAAAGGAAAATTATAAAACTAATCCCATTATTTCATAAATTTAAGATCAATTTTGATATGAAATTAATAATTTGGATTCTCATTACATATATATTATATACCCACAGGTTTGAAGAGTATCTCATTTGCAGAAGAGTTTCAAAAGCTAAAATATTCTATGTGATTAAACTATTCTGCTACTTGAGTAAGCAAAGTCCCACCCAATACTTTCCATTGCAAGTATGTCATGTCAAAAAATAAAAATACAAAAACAGAAGTTTCAAGATCCAGTGAGAGACCAAGGTAAAAGAGAAAAATATAAATTAGATAACAGCAATTGGTAAGTAACTAATCTTTCTTTAGGGCACATCACCATCTTTTTTTACTACAAGCAAATATAGCACATACATATGCATTCCTAGGGGTACCTTCAGAGATTTGAATTTTTTTCCTAGTAACTATAATATTATGATAGAAATAACTATGAATCCACTAAATATTCCTATGCTTGAAAGCTTTAAACTAGTAATAAATTACTTCTGACATACCTCACAGTGGATCCTACAATGTGTACAATGACTCACTTGAGAAACAACACAATCATAAAATTGCTCAAGATAAAGAAATGATCTATTAAAACAACACATTTATTTAACAATTATGAGAATCTCTTACATGTCAAGAAAACTGACGGATGATTTTAAACTGTCTTTTGAACTTATAGGTACAAAAACGTCATAGAACCTGATGTCAATTTTGACCCGATCTCCTACATTCAGTCAACCAATGTCTCAGAAAAAAATAAGTCTATTCCTGATGCCTCTCACCAAATTAGTCTAATTTGTATGATTTTTTTAGACTTTACAACTGTATTAATTTAACGAGTTAATCAACTCTTGGCACTGTGAACCTACTATAATTTTATTTCAGCAAGCAATACTATTTCTCAAGTTTTAAAACCTGGTTGATGAGCTTGTTTCGATAATTTGTTATTAAGAATATCTTATGACAGTCTAATTTCTATATAGATATATTTTAGCAATATCTATACATAGAAGTCTAACTTTTTAACTGCAAATTTCAAAATGTACTTTTAGTAAAATCAATCTGGATGAAACAGTCAAGTATTCATGTTTAAATGTCATCTGCTTTATGTATTTCAATTTATTCAATACTAGCTTTTTATAAAAAATGGAAATTTAGTTAGAAAAAAATCATAAAACACAATTTAAAATACAGATTAACATGGATTTAAAAAATCACTATAGAGTCTTAGGTTTCAAGATTGACTCAAATTTAAAAGAAAAAATTTACACTTATAAGTAAACTGTTTTGAACCTTAAGTAGGCCTTCCACTTCATATACAACATGATTGTGTTTTCCTACACATTCTAAAAACAAATGTTCTCTGACCCTACAGGAGATGTTCCATATAATCACCTCTCACAGAGCAATGCTGGACTCTGCTTAGCTTCAAGACTTTTGGTGAACTTTAACAAATGGAAGTATCGGGGTACCTTGTTGGCTCAGTCAGTTGAGCATCTGACTCTTGATTTCAGCTCAGGTCACAATTCCAGGGTAGTAGGACAGTGCCCCACAGCACTGGGCATGAACCCTGCTTATGAGTCTCTCTCTCTCCCTCTGCCTCTCTCCCCCATTCATGCTTTCTTAAAAAAAAAAAAAAAAAAAAAAAAAAAGGAAGTATCATACTAGTCAAAGATGTTACCAACAGCCTACCATGTACCTCTCTCATATCCTAATATGCTGTTCATGTTATACAGTCCCTCCATGATTCCCAGATTACAAATAACTTTTGTTATAAAGGGGTCTTCTTACCATATCTGACAGTTTAGTAGGTTTTTCTGGTCTTGACAAAATAGCAGCATATCGGTTAGTCAAGTTAGGTAATTCATCAGAAACTCCACCAACCTGTGAATTCCAAAAAGCATGTTGAAAAAATAAATAAAAAAGAGTGTATCAATGCTATTTATCAATTCAAGTGGCCCTATAAGTAATAAATTTTCAAGGAAGCCCATCAATGTTGCTCTGTCACTAAATAGAGACAGATATATATTCATTAAAAATTAAAAATTTTAAATGCGATATAGAAGCAAAAGACTTTAAGTCAATGAGATATTAAATGGAAAAAAAAAGAGTTGATTATATGGACCTCTAGAAAAACAAGATAGATCTACATACATTATTTAAACACATTACAAGTGAGTTATTATCTATACCATAATGTCAAATTCAAACATCAATTCTTGTTGTTTCATTATATATATATATATAAGTAATATACATGTATATATACACATACATCACATACACATACACACATATATAAGATATTTGGCCAATTATATAGTATTATATGTTAGTACTTATTAATACATGAAATAAAAATATATGAACAATAACTATTTATACTGATTATGTGAAAATCCTGGATGAATAAATTTTCTGAGCAAAATCATCTACACTCTCTTAAATACTACAATTCCTAATATGCATTGAGTATGTAAATTAATAGGTTACATAAAGCTGGTAACCTAAAAATTTAATTAGCAATTAATTAATCTTTTTGATATTATACTCTTTCTGATTAATCATATAATTTAGCCATTTGTATCCATTTAATATTTTAAACTGTTAACCAATAGTAACATTCTTTGTATATACAAAGGGATGAGAATATTCTCATTTTCCCATTTTTATATACTTTACTGTTTTTATTTCAGAATCTGATATACTCGTTTAATACTTCAGAATTTGATACCTACTAGAATAGATATCTCTTTGTACACTTTATGAGGAACATTAATCTACTATAAAATCTATCCCTTAAAAGATGTATCTTTTAAACTATGTGCCTCTTTACCCTAAATGCTGAAGCTGGTGCTTCTCCATTCCTTTCCTAATATTATTCCTACCTAGTCATTCGAAAGAAAATAGATTTTTATCATTTTCAAACAGAAAAATCAGTCAAAAATTGTGAAATCCTTCAAATCTAGGACATCGGACCCAGCATTATTATTTTGTGTGGTTTTATATTTATTAAAGTTAAAAAATAATTTACTTTTATAATAATTTTATTATTATCATGTATATAGTGCTAGAAATTATAGCATAAAGAAGGTCAAAAGTATTTTGCAATTTTTACTGTTTATGGGTAGAAGTTCAGAAAATGAATCAGTCATTGGATGACTTTGGCTTTAGAGGGAATGATAAGTTTGCAGAAGGCCATATTTTCACAAAAATAATTTAAATCCAGATAAAATATAAGAAAATCCTATTTTTAAAGGCCTAATAGAGTCATGGATACTTCTAACTTTGAGTTGTCAGCATAGACAAGAGGGGCTAAGAGTCTAAAGAGGGTAGAACCTCTGAAAAGTGAGCTATTGCCTTGTAGGTGCTTTCTCCCTGGTAGCATTTGCTCACAACAGGCAACAGAGAATTTGAGTTTAGATCTGGCAGAGAGATGCTGTTAAAACATTGAGAAACAAGCTTATTTTGGTCTTGTGAAGCCAGAATGGCAAAATCGCAGATTTAAGAAGCTTCAAACACACGATCTCTTTCCCCATGAAGACGTTTGCCAGGGGATAAGGGATAGGGGTGATGCTAAAAATCTGAACCAAAATACTAAAAAACATATGCATTAAAGATTGCAATTCAGAATCTGACAAAGCAAGGGGTCTTGAACACATCAGGCTCACAGCTGAAATCCCCAGAGAGACTACACTTAAGGAAATGAACAAACCAGAGGTAAATAAACTAAGCCCTAAAAAAACTATAATCACTAGAATTCATTATTGCTTTAAGGTGATCTCCTCTGACTTCTACCCGACTTGCAAAGGAAAGTATAAACTCTCTCAAATAGAAGGTAACACCATTTAAAGTCTCTATACTGTATACAATATCTGGCATTTTATTAACACTTCGTGAGCATGCCAAAAGACCGACATTTATGATCAAAACTCAAGACAAAAAAAATAACAGAAAATAACAACAGACAATAGATGATCCAGATGTTGGAGTTAGTACACACAACTTTAAAATAGCTATAATTAATGTGTTCAAGAAAACAGAAAACAAATGGAAAATAATAGTTAAAACATGAAGAATTTCTCCTAAAAGTGAAATCTTTAGAATGATTTAAATATAATTCACTCTAGAACTGAAAAATAGAATATCTGAAATTAAGAATTTAGGTCAATTTAATAACATTTGAAGCATAGTTTTTTTAAAGAAAGATTAATGAATTGAAAGATATGTCTGCAGAACATATCTAAACTGAAGCACTAAGAGAAAAAATGGAGAATAATACATAGGGATTATAAGAGATGTTTGAGGCATAATGAATAGGTGTAACATATATATTAATTAGAGCCCCAAAAATATAGGTAGGAAAGAATGTGACAGAAGAAATATATAAAGATATAACAATCAAAAATTATTTAAAAGTGATTAACACACCAACCCAGAGGCTCTGCAAACTTCAGGCAAATAAATATAAAGAAAATCACACTTTTGACACATCAAAGACATAGGCCAAAAAAAAAAGGGGGGAGGGGGATCAATTGCTTTCAAGGGGGAACAATAAGTTTGACAATGTACTTTTCAACAGAAATTACAAAAGACCTAAAACAATGGAATAACATATTTAAAGTGCTGGGAGAAAATAACTACCAACCTAAAAATCCAACCCCCCAAAATTAAAAATGGCAAAATAAAGACATGTTCAGACAAAAGTATACAATAATTCATCAACAGACCTTGACCAAAAGAAGCAATAGAGAGAGTTTTTCAGGAAGAAGAAAAATAATGTGATATAGAAAAACAGAAATGTAGAAAGAAACAAAACACAACAGAGAGGGTAAATATTTGGGTAAATATGAATAAATATTAACTGTACAGAACAATAATATTCAAAGAATTTAAAATATATGTAAACTTAAAATGTATGACAATAATTAAACAAAAATAGGAGGTAGGAAAATGGAGCTAAAATGTTCTAAGATAGCATTATTGGAAAAGTGGTAAAAATAATCCTTTTTATTAAAGTACAAAAAGTAAAAGATGCATATTGTAATTTTGGTGGCAACCACTAAAACACTATAAAACAATACATAACTAAAAATGTTATGGAAATAGATGAAATCGAATAATACAAAATATTTGATTAATTAAAAAAAGGTGAGGTAAGAAAAAATCCTAAAACAAGTGAGCCAATAGAATATATGAAACAGTTTGGTTTCTATACACACAAATCTATCAGCAATCATATTAAGTGAATTAATTGTGCAGTTAAACACAGTTTATCAGACTGGATTTTTAAAACTCAGGTTTAGGGTGTATTTTTCACTCTTGACTATAGTTTATTAAATTTTATGTAAACTAAAACAGTTTGGGTTATACCTATAGGTAGGTTTTAATCATCAGTAACAGTAACAAAAGTTATTAAGTTCTTACTATGTGCCAGGACCTATTTAAAGTATTTTACAAGTATTTATTCATTTAGTATTCATAATAATGCTTTAAGGTGTGTACTATTATGATCTCCATCTTACTAAGAATTTAAACAACTTACACAAAGTCAGTGACAGAAAAAAATATACCCAAGTAGTCTTGAGTACTCTGACACCAGAGATCATGCTCATAATCACTATGCTATACTGTCTCAGCATATGCAGTGGAGAATAAAGATTATAATGAGAGCCTTTTAAAAATTTCTTGCAAGTAATAATTTTCAACTCTTTTAAATCTAAATGTCAGGTTACTTAGAATAATGAACTTCTAGTACATTTTAAATAAAATACAACAAAAATATTCTAAAAACTACTAATGTTCATGAGGCACTAAAAATACACTTAGCAGCTAAACATGGTGAAGATAGTAAATTTAATGTTATACGTTTTTTACATTAGAATATATGTAAAATAAAATTTTGTAATAATTCATGAACTTCTCACTTTGTAAAACTTTAATTTTTGTTTAAACAAGAAAAGCCTTCATTTACTTTTATTTTTCTTTTATGCCTACAAATCTTCAGTATCTCTTGGAGATTACCGTAATGATTTACAGCTGTTCTTTCATTACAATGCGATCTCTTTTAGCTACATCTGAAGCTTTTAACTAATTTAAGGCACTAGAGTGATAACTTTGGCAGCACACATACTAAAACTGGAACATCACAGAGAAGATTAGCACCCTGTGCAAAAATGGCATGCAAATTTAATTTCACTTCATTTTTAAAAAGTGTTGTAAAGCACTAGGATATTCTTACATTACCACCATAAATATCTTAGGATTCATTCCTATAAACCATGTGTGTTCCACTCTTTCTGGAATAAAAATACTTTTCCTGATAGGAAAGACAAATCCAATTCAGCAGTTCAGTGGCTCTACTATCCGTATATTATCCCTACAGAGTTCTTATCTTTCTAGCTACTCTTTTTGGCCAAACTTATACACTTATAAACTTATACAAACTAATTTTAATTTTCCATAGTATTTTTACAATAAATTGTCTTTCTCTTTAAGCTTCTTTAATTACAGTTCTATGCCTCTTTTATTCATTTATTCAATTATAATTTCCTGAGTGTCAACTATAGGACAGACACCATGTTTCCTGTGTTCTGTACGTGTCCTTTTATGATTTGACAACTATGTTCAAACTTCCCCAATGTTTAACTTCTATTTACTTTCTATCTGTAAAATATCTATTTGTTCTATCTATATTTTTTACCCTAAATGTTAGCTATTTTTACTTTTCCATATGTACATTCTTTTAAACTTTCTCAAATTCTTTAGGAAAGAGAAAGAATAAATAATAAATATATACACATATATTAAAATGTCCTTTTAAAATGTATTCTTAAAATTTTAATGTGAATCAAAACTGCATTGTCAGAATTTTACTCATGAGATTTTCTTCCTGTCAATCCTTACAGGCTAGTTTTACTCTTAAGAGTCTCTGATCTTAAGAATATTTCTTGTTTTCTGATGATCATTTTGAAACAGGGATAATCTAAATTCCTTGTACATACCTAACAATGTCCAGAATCTCTTGTTTGACAATTCTAAACTGTACAATAATATGATCACTATTTGTGAAATGATTCTTCCATTCTATTCAATTAGTTCTCCTTTATTTAGTCAAAATTAAGCTAGAGTATGTGTTCCTCCCATAGCTTCCTCTACCTTATGTGAAAGTAAATTATCAGTAAATCAAAAACATGTAAGATGGTCTGCTTTCAGTAAGATGAGAAATATAACAATAGCCTTTTATATTTACTCACATAGTTATCATCTTTGATACTCTGTATTACTTTATATAGACCCAGATTCCATCTTCCATCTGGTAATATTTTCCTCTGCCTGGAAGACTTTAACATTTCTTATGCTGCAGGTCTTTGAAGGATGACTATTTCAGCTTGTGTATAGATACATATATATGTATTCACACACACACACACACACACACACACACACACATATTTCATATATTTCACATATTCCAAGTGTTTTCATTTTTGAAAGATGTTTTAACCTGCTATAGAATTATAGTTTGACAACTGTTTTCTTTTAATACTTAAAAATGTTGCACTATGTCTTCTGACTAACATCATTTCCCACAAGACATATGCTCCCATTGATAACTTTGCCCCTCAATACTATATATCCTTTTTCTCTGGCTGCTTTTAAGAATTTTTTTAACCATTCTAGTCAATTTGGTGATAATATGCCTTTGCATAGTTTCCTTAATGTCTTTTGCTGCAAGTTTGTTGAGCTTCATGGATATGTCAGTTTTTATAAAGCTCCGATCAAAATTTGGAAATTTTCAGTCATCATTCCTTAAAATATTATTATATGACCCCATACTCCTTCCCTTCCTTCAAGGACTCTAACTACACAAATATTAAGCCACTTCAAATTGTCTCATAGTTTACTGATACTTTATTCACTACTTTTGTCTTTTTTCTCACTATGTTTTATTTCAGACAGTTTCTATCAGTGTCTTCAGGTTCACTAATCTTTTCTTCTAAACCTCCTATACTGTTGTTAATGAGAGTGTACTTTTTAAAAATATTATACTTGCCATCTCTGGAACTTCAATTTGTGTCTTTTTATTTGTGCCATTTCTCTACTCAATTTACTCAATCTTTCTTCTACCTTTTGAATGTGAAATGTAGTTATAATAACTGTTTAATGTCTTTGTCTACTATTTCTACCATCTGTGTAATTTCTTGTCTTTTACTATTGGTTTGTTCCCTGATTCTAGGTTATGTTGTCCTGCTTACTTGCATACCTATTTTTATATTGGATATCACACTCTGTGAATTTTATTTTCTTGGATACTGAATATTTTTTAATTCCTATGAATTTCCTTGAGATTTGTTTTGCGATACAGATGTCCAGTAAGGAATAAATATATATAAAAGATGAAACACTTGGAGAAAAAATATAAACTATCATTCACAGGTGGCATAATGTGCTTGAGGAAACTTTTTTCAAAACTAATAATAAATTAGTAGAATTAATCATTTAATTTAGCAAGCCACATGGGTCATTGGTAAAGCAATCTTCAATAAAGATTATATTTTTTATACCTATAACAGAAAGCTAAACAATGAAAATATTTAAAAGGTACTATTTACAATAGAATTTAAAAACATGAAACACTAAATACAAAGGAAGAAATCTAATAAAGATGGGTAAGACTTGTACACAAAAATCATAAAGCCACAAAGAGCATGTAAAGGAAACTTAAATTACTCTCCGAAAATAGTGGAGCAATTTTAAAATGAAGATAAATATTTAAACAAATACATATGACATCCATAAAGAAATAAAGAATATGATCTATTTTTTTTATTTTTTTTCAACATTTATTTATTTTTGGGACAGAGAGAGACAGAGCATGAACGGGGGAGGGGCAGAGAGAGAGGGAGACACAGAATTGGAAACAGGCTCCAGGCTCTGAGCCATCAGCCCAGAGCCTGACACAGGGCTCGAACTCACGGACCGCGAGATCGTGACCTGGCTGAAGTCGGACGCTTAACCGACTGCGCCATCCAGGTGCCCCTATGATCCATTTTTAAAAAAGAAATTACAAACATAGTTGCAAACCGAATTAATGTTTATTCTTATGTCATAAGTTACCATATAAAAATGATTTCAATAATAATAGTATGGCTTAAAATAATGGGGAAAATATGTCACATGTAATTGTTATAAACCCTAAGTCTTGGCATTAGATATAAAGAATATTATTTTGGTATTCACAAATTACCTGATAATCGGCAGGACCAGGAGAAGTAAAAGCTTCTTTCTGAACCAGCAAGAGAGTCCGAGGAACAGAAGAACCAAATGCACTTTTCTTTTTTTTCTTCAAGTAGGTATTGCTAATGTTGTCAATCATAGTATTGTTTAGGATATTATAAAACCCAGGACCTAAAATCATGAGGAATATCATATGTAAGAATAAATATGCTTTTAATTCTTTTAAACTGAATAACTTTAAATAAAGTAATTTTTTGGAAGAACTCACATATTACTAGCAAGAATGTAAAATGGTATGACATTTTGAGAAACAATTTTTCAAGTTCTCATAAAACCAAACATATACTTAATATATGATCCAGAATTTCTAACCCCAGGTATTTTCCCAAGAAAAATGAAAACAACCCAAATGTCCATCAGCTAGTGAAAAAAAAAAACAGAAGTTCTATACTCAAACAATAAAATACTACTCAGCATTAAAAAGAAATATAAATACAACAATATGAATGGACATTAAAAACACGATCCCAAGTGAAAGAAGATAGACACAAAATCCTGAATAACGTATGTTCCATTTATATGAAATTCCAGAAAATGCAATATCATAGTGACAGTAACAGTAGCCTGGAGAAAGTGGAGATTAACTGCAGAGGGGAAAGAGAAAACATTTTTAAAATGATGGAAATGTTATAAAACTTAATTGTAGAGGTGATTACCCGACCACATACATATACCAAACCTCATCATATTTTACACTTAAAATGAATCATTTTAGGGGCGCCTGGGTGGCTCAGTCGGTTAAGCGTCCGACTTCAGCTCAGGTCACGATCTAGCGGTCCGTGAGTTCGAGCCCGCGTCAGGCTCTGGGCTGATGGCTCAGAGCCTGGAGCCTGCTTCCGATTCTGTGTCTCCCTCTGTCTCTGCCCCTTCCCCATTCATGCTCTGTCTCTCTCTGTCCCCAAAATAAATAAACGTTAAAAAAAAATAAAAAAAATGAATTATTTTATGTGTAAATTATATCTCAATAAAGGAGAAAGGAAGGAAAGGAAAGGAAAGGAAAGGAAAGGAAAGGAAAGGAAAGGAAAGGAAAAAGAACAAACGAAAGAAAGGAATTCTTGATGCCAAAAAATATTGAAAAGTTGAGGTAGCAACATTAAAAATCAATTTGGGAGAAAAAAATCACCTATCATCCAATATTCCTATCACAGCAGTTATTTTATTTTTGCCTTTTACCTTTCAGGACATATTTATAGCCAGAAATATTTTCTACAGTGGCAATCTGAGTAAATAACATCTTTTTCAATCAAAATAATACAAACTTTCTATGTCATTGGAAAAAGCTTTATCAAAATATTAAAATTTATTTGAAAAAAATATTTGTATATGTTTTATAATTCAGTAATTTTAAAACATCAGTTCCAGGAAGCAGCAATATCCATAAAATGCAATATATACTTGAAAGGACATTTAACCTGGTTGTATTCATGTTACCTGAATTCTACTAAATTAGCTCTGCAACTAAATAGATATAAAATGTAATTTCAATCTCATTTGTTTTTCTGGGCTTCAAGTTCTTTGTCTGAAGATACAGAAACTGACTAGATCAGTACTACTCAAAATGTGGTCTATGGGCTGTTGCTAATCCAAAAACAATCTACCAGAAAAGGAGCTTACAATTAATGTAAATTGACTATTCCCTAGGTATTTTATAACTAGTCTTTCTCCATAAAGGAAGCACTGTGTTGATTTACATTTTGGTGCAATCTCCTTTTCATTGTAGGTAGGAAACAAGTTGCTGACCAGTAAGCACTTTGAATACTATGAGGCTAATGATACTTTAGGTCCTTTCTGGACTAAAAATGATTAAATCATTATACATTGTAAAATAGAAGATTTTTCTAAAACAAGCTACCTAAAATCTTCCCAATTTTTCAAATATTCCAATTCCAACATCTTTTCCTCAAAAGTCTCTCCCAGGAGCACCTGGGGGGCTCAGCTGGTTAAGCAACTGAGTCTTGATTTCTACTCAGGTCATGATCTCATAGTTTGTGAGGTCGAACTCCATGTCAGGCTCTGTGCCGACAGTGCAGAGCCTGCTTGGGATTCTCTCTCTCTCCCTCTCTCTCTGCCTCCCCCCTGCTCACGCTCACGCTCTCTCTCTCTCTCTCTCTCTCTCTCTTTCTTTCTCTCTCTCTCTCTCTCCCTCTCTTCCAAATAAATAAATAAATAAATAAATAAATAAATAAATAAATAAACAAACAAACCATTTTTTAAAAAGTCTCTACCAAAGAGTCTCTTGTGCCAACTCTCAGAAAACCTAAATGCTACTATGGTTTATTCCTGCCATCTTCATAATTCCCTCCACTAGTAATGTTTAGGAGAAAGGTACATGGAAAGTGTGATAAAAAACTATTTGGACCACCATTTCAGGTAATTAAAAGACAAGTATGTCAGATCTGACTCTTTTCTGGCATGAAAATACAATAAAACACATTACAACTTAAGTGCTTAAATACAGGGACCTCACAGTGTATACATCACAAGTACTGCCTTGTTAAGCTTCTGATTTGAAAAGCCATCCTGATCATGTAATTCACTCACATTAGAGGTTTTTCATATTCATTTTCCACTCAGTAGGTGTAGAAATGCCAAGGAACCCCAACGTTAGTTTAGGGTTACCTTCTAACAGTAATCTGTAAATCTGTCCTATGACTGATGGGTCCAATTCATTACTGTACCTAATCTCTAAATGCAATAAAAAAAATTTTCTTAATAAAACAGATAGGGGCGCCTGGGTGGCGCAGTCGGTTAAGTGTCCGACTTCAGCCAGGTCACGATCTCACAGTCCGTGAGTTTGAGCCCCGCGTCAGGCTCTGGGCTGATGGCTCAGAGCCTGGAGCCTGTTTCCAATTCTGTGTCTCCCTCTCTCTCTGCCCCTCCCCCGTTCATGCTCTGTCTCTCTCTGTCCCAAAAATAAACAAACGTTGAAAAAAAAATTTTTTTTTAAATAATAAAATAAAATAAAATAGATAAATAAATAAACTCAAAGTTCCATGAGGCCATTCTCACTGATTCTTTTTTTTTATATAAATTTTTTTTTTAGCGTTTTATTTATTTTTGAGACAGGGAGTGACAGAGCATGAACAGGAGAGGGTCAGAAAGAGGGAGACACAGAATCTGAAACAGGCTCCAGGCTCTGAGCTGTCAGCACAGAGCCCGACGCGGGGCTCGAACTCACAGACTGCGAGATCATGACCTGAGCTGAAGTCGGATGCTTAACTGACTGAGCCACCCAGGCGCCCCTCTCACTGATTCTTAAAACATGTAAGACTTGGGATTGGATTGGAGGGGGTCATCAAAATTGCATGTAATCCTTTAAAAATTAACTAACCTTTGGGAAATTTATATTTTATTCATAATACACTAGGCCATCAAATTGAAAACAAGACCCAATCTTAAGGCAGTTGGGTCAATCAGTAAGTTCATTTATAGAAATAATTTGGATTTCAAATTCATAATAAACACACTGAGCTAGCCTCAGGTGGGGAAGTGTCGAACACTTAACACATGACCTCTCCAGAACTACAGTCTTGGAACAGTCAGACTTTATAGAGGCTTTGGGCAATTGTTCAACAGTGCTAGGTGTATGGTGTAAAGCTTATAACTTTGCCTAAGAAGTGCTGGAAACCTTAAGAGACTCTTAAATACTGAGAACAAACTGAGGGTTGATGGGGGTGGAGAGAGGGGAAAGTGGGTGATGGGAATTGAGAAGGGCACTTATTGGGATGAGCACTGGGTGTTCTATGGAAACCAATCTGACAATAAATTATATTAAAAAAAAAAAAGAAGTGCTGGGATATCACTTCTACCACATACCATTTGTCAAAAAAGACACAAGATTAGCCAAGATTGGAAGGGAGAAGAATGAGACTCAACCTCTCAATGGCATGAGTAGTAAATAAATTTGTACCCCTATAAACTTACCATAACAAATTGCCATAACAAAACTTGCAGCAATGGTTTGGGAAGGGGCAATGGGTCAGAAGCTGAAACAACTCAAGACATAGAGACAGGGCCATCAAAGGACTTGGTGATGGCTTAAAAGACAGGAGGAAAATGTTATTGCAGGCTGGAAAAAAAAGAAAACATATAATGTAATGGCAGAGATTTTAACAATACTAATGCTTGAGACAATAAAGAAAATACCTAGTAAATAAGGGGTTTCTGGCTAAGAAAGTTTGAGGGCTGAATATCATCACAAGTGCCAAGTAACGATTTTCAGCCATGTGTGAGAAGGTATGGAAAGAAAGAGATGGGCTAAAACTGTTGTTTTCAAAGGGAATTTACAGAAAATGAAAATAAATCAAGATTTTCTGGATTTAAAAGTAAAATTCTTCTTCATCCATCTCTCCGTACAGCAAAAAGCTCTCAAAGCAAGAAATGGCCTGAGAGCAAAGACTTCAGAAAGATTTCAGATGGTACCTCACAGAATTTCTCAATTAAAGAAAAGGACTTCTATGAATCTTAAGGCCATATGTCACAGACCCTCTTGGCTAAAATAAGAGTGCTCCTAAGAATCTAAGAAAATGGAAACAGAGCAGTACCAAAGGTGACCCAAAGTAGAGAAGGGTTTTTCTAAAAAGTACATCTGAATGTGGCTTCTGTCCAGTGTACTTTATTAGAAGTCAATTCAATAATATACTCACAAAGTTTTTATAAGGAATTGTACAAACTTGGAGGAAAAAAGACAATAGTGCAAAATGAAAAGTGGCTATAGACCCCCAATCTTCTACAGGCAGGAAGCAGGTTGAGAAAGCTCAAACTACAAACACAGCCTATTTCTTTGGGATTTTTTTTCTTGCTTCTTGAAGTAGACCTGTATTGCAATATACTTCCCTCTTAGGAAAAATTTTGCTGTATCCCAAAGGTTTCAGACCATTGTGTTTTCATTTTCATTTGTTTTCATGTTTTTTATTTCTTTGATTTCCTGATTAACCCATTCATTCTTTATGTTGTTCATTCATTCATGTTGTTTTTACCTCCATATGGTCTTCCCAAATTTCTTCTTGTGGTTGACTTGGAGTTTCATAACGTTGTGCTCAGAAAAAATGCATGGTATGATTTCAATATTTTTGTATTTGTTGAGGCCTGTTTTGTAACCTAATATGTAATCTATTCTGGATAATGTTACATGTGCACTTGAAAAAAAATGTGTATTCTGCTGTTTTAGGAAAGAATGTTCTGAATGCATCTGTTAAGCCCATCTGATTTAGTGTGCCATTCAAAGCCATTGTTTCCTTGTTGATGTTCTGTTTAGATATCTGTCCATTGATGTCAATGGGGTGTTGAAGTCCCCTACTATTATTGGGTTATTATAAATTAGTTCCTTTTGTTTATTATTGTTTTATATATTTGGATGCTTCCATATTGGATGCATGGAACATTTACAACTGTTATGTCTTCTTGTTGGATTGTCCCCCTAATGATTATGTAGTGTCTTTCTTTGTCTCTTTCTAAAGTCTTTGTTTTAAAGTCTAGTTTGTCTGATACAGGTATTGCTATTCTGGCTTTCTTTTGACATTCCTTTGTGTGGTAAATATTTCTTCACCCTATAACTTTCAATCTGCAGGTGTCTTTAGGGCTAAAATGAGTCTCTTATAGGTCATATAAAGATGGGACTTTTTTTTAATGTTTATTTGAGAGAGAGAGAGACAGAGCAAGCAGGGGAGGGACACAGAGAAAGGGAGACAAAGAATCAGAAGCAGGCTCCAGGCTCTGAGCTGCCAGCACAGAGCCTGACACGGGACTCAAACACACAGACCACAAGATCATGACCTGAGCCGAAGTTAGATGCTTAACCGACTGAGCCACCCAGGCGCCCCTGGGACTTTTTTTTTTTTTTAATCCATTCTGACACCCTATGGCTTTGATTGGAGCATTTAATCCATTTATATTCAAAGTAACTATTGATAGATATGTATTTATTGCCATTTTATTACTTGTTTTGTCATTGTTTCTGGAGATCTTCTCTGATCCTTTCTTGTCTTTGTCACTTTTGGTCTCTCCTTTGCACTCAAAGATTTCCCTTTAATATTTCTTATATGGTTGATTTAGTGGTCATTAATTCCTTTAGTTTTGTTTGTCTGCAAAACTCTTTATCTCTACTTCTATTCTGAATGACAGCCTTGCCAGATAGAATATTCCTGGCTGGATATTTTTCCCATTCAGCACGGTGAATGTATCATACCACTCCCTTTTGGACTGACACATTTCTGTTGAGAAATCTCCAGCTAGCCTTTTGGGTTAAGGACTTTTTTTGTCTTGCTGCTTTTAAGATTTTTTTTCTTTATCACTATATTTTGCAAATTTAATCACAATATATCTTGGTGTGGGCATGCTTTTGTTGATCTTGATGGGGGTTTTCTGTTCCCTCTGGATCTGGATGTCTGTTTCCTTTCTCAGATTAGGGAAATTTTCTGCGATTATTTCTTGAAATAAATTTTCTGGCCCCTTTTCTCTCTTCTTCTTCTTCTGGGACTCCTATAATATAAATGTTATTACATTTGTTGGAGTCGCTGAGTTCCCTAAGTTCTATCTCTCTTTTGTTCAGCTTCATTATTTTTTATTATTTTGTCTTCTAGGTCACTAATTCATTCTTCTACTTCTTCCAGCTTGCTATTCATTACATCAAGCTCATTTCCAATCTCATTTATTGTATTCATTCTTTTTTTAAGTCTTTTATTACTATAATAAGGGTCTATCTAATGTCTTCTATTCTTTTCTCAAGCCCAGTGAGTATCTTTATGATTGTTGCTTTAAATTCTCCATCAGGCGTGTGTGTGTGTGTGTGTGTGTGTGTGTGTGTGTGTGTGTGTGTAACATACATATATATATATATATATATATATATATATATATATGACATATATGTTAGATCTCTGGCTGTGGCCTTATCTTGTTCTTTCATTTGGAATAATTCCTCCATCTTGGCATCTTGTATAAGTCTCTGCCTTTTTCTCTGTTAGAAAAGACAGTTATGTCTCCTGCTCCTGAAAGTAATAGCCTTATGAAAAAGAGGTATGTAGTGTCCGTGGCATGGCACTTCAGTGAATGTCTCTGGTGTGTCCTGTGTGTGATCTATTATTCCATTTTGGCTGCTCTGTCCTTCAGGCCAGTCATCTGGAGAGGCTTTCTTTGCCTGCTGTGGGCAGTATTTGATCCCTGCATGAATGTGCCAAGTTTTAACTAGGTGTGCTCTGATCTGATTGTGAAATGAGATCTGACACCGACTCCACCAGAACTAAGGCCTTGCAGAACTTTCTAGTCAGGAGACATGGTACGGGCAGGGGCATCTGCTAGTCTTCTTAGGGAAGGGCTTGCCACACTGGGACTGAGGCAACCTTTACTGAGAAGGGCAGTCCCTCCAGAGCATGAGGGGTGGGGCTTGGTGTAAACAAGTTAGGCAGCCAGAAATACAGCCTATTTCTTAAAGAAGAGAAAGGATGTGGAGCACCTGGGTGGCTCAGTTGGTTAAGTGTCTGACATCAGCTCAGGTCATGATCTCACAGTTCATGAGTTCAAGCCCCATATTGGGCTCTGGGCTGACAGCTCAGAGCCTGGGCCCTGCTTTGGATTCTGTGTCCCCCTCTCTCTCTGCCCCTCCCCAACTCATGCTCTGTCTCGAAAATAAATAAAAAAGCATTTTTTTTAAAGTATGATTTGAAAGATAGAACCAAGAGCCCAAAAGGTAAAACAAAGGACCTTGGAAAATCATTACCATTGAGCCAAACTGGGCTCTAATCAAGAAAACGACAAATGTACTTGGTTGGATTTTGGAATTGCTATAGGGCTATGACTACTATAGGCTTCCAGTTTTCTCTTTTCTGAATAGAAGCATCCAGTATGATTATCCTCTTTCTCCCATCACTGTGTTTTGGAATGTGTGGGACAGATAATGTGTATCTTTAGTTCACAGCTCTTCTCACAAAGAAAAGTCATACTCAAAAGCTAATATAAAGTACTAAACCCACAAATTCTCACCTATAACTATACTGGAACTTAGATAACAAAATCCTGAACTTCAAGATTACATTCATAATTTCATGAGACTTTGGAGGCCTTGAGAAGGCATGTAGGACAACTGTAAATATTTTGTGGCCATAGGGTAGTCTACAGTAAATTAAAGATGGCCACAAATTCTTTGCTGCTCCTGTCATTGAGAGATGAAGTTTCAGGTTCTTCTGTTGCTCTGAGTAATCTGATTAACTAACAGAATGTGCTCTTTCTGACATTAGGTCATAAGAAGCATTGTACAGTGCTGCCAGGTCCTATGGAGCCCTTAGCTAGCAAATCAAAATACCAACTATCCTGGGGCAGCAATGCTGAAGTTATGCATGCACTCTGAATGAGTCTTATCTGAGCTCTGCCTCCCAGGCATCCCACAAAATAATAATATATAATTGAAAACTCTGTGTTTTTAAGCCACTAAGTTTGTTATGCAGCAACACATAATTTTATCTTAACATTTATATAAGTTATTTTTGTGCTGTATTCTTAGTTCTGTATACTAGAATACCCAGTGAGAATACTAGAATATGTGATGGAATATCCTTAAAATAAAATTTTAACAAAAGTGCATATCATAAGTTAAATTACTGGCAGTGACCACATAGTTGACATATATGCACATCCATCAAGAGAAATTAGGAAATTTACTGAATAAAGAAAAACCATAGAAAATTACAATAATGATATGTAACATGTTAAATTGAAATCTTACTAAAAGTGTACATTATTTGTCATCTATCTGTGTTTAGTATATAGTCAATACTTTAAAAATGTGATTTAAAATGACAGCACAAACCACAGAACAAAAAAAAAATGTACTCTCTTGTTACGTCCATCTTGTTAAGAATATTAAGTTATATAAATACATGGATTAATTGCTAACCTGGCATTTCCTCTGTCCTGGAGTCCTGTGTGAATCGAGGAGCACTCTGACCAAATGGGGTATTTTTCAGTCCTGGTGTTTTCTTCAAGGAATTGAAAGCAGTTCGAGATTCATTATATGTGCCAGGAGCTGGGGTGATTGATTTCATAGGTACAAATCTCTGGTAAAGAACAGGAAAATATGCCAATGAGCAACTATAGTATATTTCAATATTTCATAAATTAAAAGCTGCTATCTTAGTAATATAACATCTGGAGTTTAATTAATTCTTAAAGGAGTGAAGAAAATATAGATGAATTAAGATCTTGTAACTATTAAAGCATAAAATATATAGCTCTTAGTAAAATCATATATATATTAACATAGTAATGCGTTATGTACTTTACTAAGCCAAATAGACTTTTTTGAAGGAAATTATCTCAACATGAGATTCTAGGTGATAATGTATGGACAATCTTCACATTTATAAGATAAAAAATAAAAATCTATATGATCTAACATGATTTCTTTTATGTAATAAAATTATACAATTGACAAAGTTCCTCAACATATATATTCACTTAACTACACAATATCATTAAATATCTTTTTAATAAATCTCAAATATAAGTGATATATAAATACAATTTAGCTTATAATTTTAAAATTATTATATTACAAACATAAAAAGTTTATTATAAAGTTATAATATTTAACTTCTTAATAATATGTATCTATATGTATAACTGAACTCTTAAGAAATATAGCATTGTATAATCTTATTTTTTAACATTTTATTTGAAATAAATTTCAAATTTACAGAAAAAAATTGTATGAATAAAAATAAGGCAGAAAATACATGTACGTATGTTTATCTAGATTCACCCGTTGTTAACATGTTATGCCATTTGTTTTCATTTGCCCACACTCTCTGTTTCTCTCTCTTTATTTCACTACACCCATTCCTTCCTCTATGTGTCTCCCTGTGTGTCTCTCTATGTGCATGCACACACATACACACACACATGCAGTATATATATATATATAGAACCAGTCAATGGAAAGTTATATATGTCATGGCCCTTTACCCCTAAATACTTTGGTATGTATTTACCACAAATATGGATTTTTTTTACATATCTGAAGTATAATTATCAACCTCAGTATATGTACAATTATATAATACTATTATCTAATCAACTATCAATATTCAAAACTGTCAGTTGATCTAATAATACCTCTAGTACATTTTTCTCCTTCAGTATATAATCTAGTCTAGGTTCAGATATTGCTTTTAGCCTCTTTTAATGTAGGAACATTTCTAAAACCTTCCCTTGTGTTTTGTGACTTTGGAAGAATATAGCACCCCTCTTTTGTATAAAAGAACCTTCCTTAGTTGGGGCTTTTGTGATGCTTCCTCATGATTATATTCAGTTTATACATTTCTGGATAGCATACTAAATAGGTGATGTTGTAGCTTTCTGAGAGTATCATATCCAGAGGTACATGATGTCCTTGAATGCCAATGGTGACTTTAATTTTATAAAATTGAATACTCTCTCTATACTTGTCAGTAAGCACTCAGCATTCTACTATAAGCAAGAGCTCTCTCTTCTCCCCCAATTATTCATTTATTTTTATCTATTTACGTATTTACTATCCATGTGGAAATATAAATGTCAGTTAAAACTATTGCGATTCACTACTGTGTTGTTGTTTTTTGTTTTGTTCTGTTTTGTTTTGTTTGTTTTTTTAACCAGTAGGGAGCCATTAAAGTTGGCTCACACATCCTTATGATAAGTCGTCATCTTTTTTTTTTTTGAGACTTTTTTTAAATTTCATGACATAAGAAGATGTTACAGGTTCATCTTCTACCTACTTTGCACAATCCCTGCTTCTTGGCTTATTTAACAGACAAAGCTAGAATATATATCTATATATCTATCTATACCTATTTCTATATCTATACACACACACATATATATCAGGGATACATATACCCATATACATATATGTGCATATATATGCACATACATATACATATATATGTATTACAAATCATGAGTTCACATTAAACCTTCAATTAAAATCTGTCCTTTCTCACCTCCCCCAATCCATATTTGTATGTACCTTCTTCCAACTGAAAACCCTGGTTCACGATATTGACTTTTCTGCTCAACTCTGTAATACAACAAGTTTCATGACTGCTTCACCCAAAGGTGTATATTTGAATTGAAACCATACATTAAATTTTTTCTATTAAATTTATATATGTGAAAGTTCAGTTTAGTCTGAATTTTAAAAAATATTTTCCCGGGGCGCCTGGGTGAGTCAGTCTGTGAAGCGTCCAACTCTTTTGATTTCAGCTCAGCTCATGATCTGGGTTCTTGAGTGCAAGGCCCGCATCAGGCTCTGCACTGACAGCATGAAGCCTGCTTAGGATTCTCTCCCTCCTCCCTCTCTCTCTGCCCCTACCCTGCTCACACTCTCAAAATAAATAAACTTTAAAAAATTGAAAAATTAAAAAATAAATAAATAAATAAATAAATAAATAAATAAATAAATAATACTTTGCCAATGAATATGTGGAGTGTTAAAATGTAATCTTTGAGGACACACATATCTTTCAGAGAAGGTTCTGAAGGCTCTCTGTGGAGGGTGGGGATAGATCATATCTACCACTGCCACTAGGGTCTTTATTTGTGATGCAAGAGTGTATTTCACAGTAATCATATCACATTCTCCATGGTATGCACTAAGGCAACTTGAAGATATCTAATATATTTCTATGGCAATTTAATACTATCAAACTTTTATAATGTGGCAGCTTCCAGATCAAAGTAGTTGTAATAATTATCCAACTGCATTATGTACAGCTCTATTTATTTTCTCTTAACTCAGGAATGTTATTAACCTTCAGATGACTACAGGTTACTACTTTGGAACTTAAGAGGCATCTCCTTAGAGACAATTAGATGGATTGCAGGTACATTTTGGAGACATAATTAACACAACTTTTTAATAAATTACAACTTTTTAATAAATTTTAATAAATTACAACTTTCTAATAAATTAATGTTGTGGTGAGGGGCAAGGAAGAACCAAGAATGAATACCAGATTTCTCCTTTGAGCAACTTGATAGCACTTAAGGTACTACACAAAATGATTGTGTAAGAACAGGATACTTTGTGTGTGGGTGTGTGTGTGTGTACCTTTGATTTTTTTTTAATATCATTATTACAACTAGATTCTCAGTTCTTATGCTATTTCTGTTCCTCTAATATGTAGTCCTGATTTGATATCACTTGGCACCAATTATAATATTTTAAATATATTTTCAGAAATGGAAAAGAATATGATATGTTTTGTTTAAGGGGATGATGAAGAAAGCAATAATCATTCCGGGGTGAAAGATATGGAAGAGTTAAAACCAACAGGAATGACTGCTAGAGGTAGTGTTAGTGTTTAGTTAACTATGAATAGGTACATTAATGACTGATAGGAAAAGCAATAATGCAATTAACAAGGTACACTTAAAACACAAAATTTTTGATTTATAAAAATAAAAATGGATTATATATCTGAGATATCAGGGTTTTTTTGGCCATTTGTCTACTTTATTTATTTGTTTCAAGTTTTAATTTAATCTAATTAGTTAACATATCATGTAACATTGGTTTCAGGAGTAGAATTTATTGATTCATCACCTATAACACCCAGTGCTCATCACAGCAAGTGCTCTCCTTAATATCCATTACCCATCTAGTACATCCTCCACCCACCTCCCTTCTACCAACCCTCAGTTTGTTCTCTATAGTTAAGAGTCTCTTATGGTTTGCCTTCCTCTCTCTCTTCTTTTTTCCCACTTCCCCAATGTTTATTTCTTTTCCTTCTTACATTCCACATGAGTGCAATCACATGGCATTTGACTTTCTCTGACTGACTTGTTTTGCTTAGCATAATACACTCTAGCTCCATCCACATCATTGCAAATGGCAAGATTTTATTTTCTTTTTTTTTATGTTTCATTTATTTTTGAGAGAGAGAGATAGAGACAGACAGACAGACAGAGTGCAAGCAGAGGAGGGGCAGAGAGAGGGAGTCACAGAATCCTAAGTGGGCTCCAGGTTCTGAGCCGTCTGCACAGAGCCCGACATGGGGCTGGAGCTCATGAACCGCGAGATCATGACCTGAGCTGACGTAGGACACCCAACCAACTGATCCACTCAGGTGCCTCAAGATTTCACTTTCGTGATGGCTGAGTAATATTCCATTGTGTGTATGTGTGTATGTATGCGTGTGTGTGTGTGTGTGTGTGTGTGTGTGTGTATTCTTTATTCATCAGTCAATGGAAATTTGGGATCTTTCCATAATGTGGCTATTAATGCTGCTATAAACATCAGGGTATATGCACCTTTCGAATCAGTTCTTTTCTATCATTTGGGTAAATACCAAGAAGAGCAACTGCTGGATCATAGGGTAGTTCTATTTGGAGGAACCTCCATATCATTTTCCAGAGTGGCTATACCAGTTTGCATTGCCATCGACAGTGTAAGAGGGCTTCCCTTTTTCCACATCCTCAACATCTATTGTTTCCTGTGTTGTTAGTATTAGCCATTAAGACAGGTGTGAGGTGATATCTCATAGTTTTGTTTTGTATTTCCTCGATGATGAGTGATGTTGAGTATTTTTTCATGTGTCTGTTAACTATCCATATGTCTTCTTAGGGAAAAAATGTCTATTCATTTCTGACCATTTCTTAAATAAATTATTTATTTTTGGAGTGTTGAGTTTGAGAAATTTTTTTATAGATTTTGGATACTAACCCTTTATCTGATATGTCACTTTCAAATATCTTCTCCCATTCTCTAGGTTGCCTTTTACTTTTCTTGATTGCTTCCTTCACTGCAGAAAGTTTTATCTTGATGAAGTCCCAATAGTTCATTTTTTTTATTTTGTTTCCCTTATCTCCCTTATCTCCAGGTCAGAGCTTGAAACCTATGTTCTCCTACAGGATTTTGGAGGTTTCTTGTTTCATATATAGGTCTTTTATCTGTTTTGAATTTATTTCTTTAATATGAAATTTATTGTCAAATTGGTTTCCATACAACACCTAGTGCTCATCCCAACAGGTGCCCTCCTCAATAGCCTTCACCCACCCTCCCCTCCCTCCCACCCCC